CCCCAGGAGCCAGAGTGGGCAGCCAGGGCCCAGTTGTGGGTGGCTCCCGCCCCTGCCTAAGACTCTGCGCGGGTCCCAGAGCTGCCGCGGGGCTGCCTGGTTGACTCTCCTTCCTATTGTTTACAGTGAAGGTGTCATTCACAAAAACTCAAGGACTACTAGTCTCTTCCCTTCCCTTAGATCGCTCCTGGTTCTTGTCCCACCCTCACCCCTCTCCAGCATAAAAGCTGGTGAGCTAAAGCTGTGTCTGCTGAAGGAGCTCGGGAGGCTGGGGTGTGGCCGAGGGAGGAGGCAGATGGTGGCAGGCGAGGAGAAAAGCCTTCTCGGCCTGCCAGGTGTGTCTGGCAGTCTGGCTCCCTCTCCCTCTGTGCCTGTGCAGCCTCCATTCCCCCGCTGGCCGCGGGGTGCAGGTTACTTGTGCCCTCCCTCCTGTGAAGTTACACTGTAGGACACAAGCTGTGAGAAATCTGCATTCTACTGTCCCCGTGTGTTGGCATTCTTAGCTTTCTTGTCAAGCGAACTCTGTTCTCCAGATGGTAGTAGGACAGTGCAAATTGTTCTAAGCAAAGGAAAAAAAAACTGACTTTATTGCACTTTTAGTTTTTTGTTTTTTGTTTTTTTTTTTTACAAAAAAAACATGGCAGATGCATATTGTGTCTGATTATATTGGGAGTTTTCCTTTTTCTTGTTTTGAGGGGGATGGGGCCAGCCAAGCCATTCAGAGAGAACATGGGTCCAGGGGACATTCTCAGTGGAAAGAGTTGTGTCTGCAGTACCCAGAAGAGAAGCCAAACTGTCATTCTGAGTGAGCCCTCAGGTTGCAAGGAAACATACTTGAATTCTCATTCATCTTCTCAGCTGCTGAAGAATGTTCCTACCAGAGCTTCTTGACTGCATCAGCCTGCAGTCTGAACAGCCGAGCTCTCTCATATATGAGTTGAGCCAGCCAAGCCAGACTGTGACCAGGAGACAGTGCATCTCAGAAAAGGAGGTGCTCGACAAAAAATCTGACATACCTGTTTCCTCCACTGCCAGGGACTTCCAAACTCGATAGCCATGTGACTTCCTTAGTGACTTGGGGGACAGAATTGGAGATGAAACAGCCACCACCGTATTGCTACTAGTGGACAAAAGAGTGGGGAATGTGAACCTGCCTTCCAACTGCAAGAGGAACCTCAGGATTTGGCATCATAGGACCAGGAAATGAAATTGGTGTGTACTGTCTGCCCCCAATAGCTGAGTTACAGCCATTTGGGCTGGTCTGCCTTATTAGAAACTAAGCATCTTCTCCCAGCAGGTCCATAGCAGCAGGCTTAGGACTCAGTACATGGGGCTATAGTCAACAGGAAGGTAAAATTGGTTGGTGCTGGAAAATTCCAGGGGAAAGTAGACTTGAAATGGAAGGTCTGAAATTATCTCCTCAGTTAGACATAGACTCCTTCCAGATAAGCTGGCCATACAGCTAGAACATGTCCTCCCCATTGCACTCTACGCCCTCCCCCCATGATACAGTCACCGGACATACTTCCATGAGGGCTCTCAGAAAGCCACTAATGTGTGGAGTTAGTCGTCTCATGCCTAATTTCATTTGAGTTCAGTGGCTTATCCAGACAGTGACTTCTCATTCCAGATAGGAGAAAGGGTTCTTTACATCTGAGAATGAGATCTTGTATGTGGGAGTAGAGAGAGCTAGCCATAGAGGACAGTAGCTGGTGACGTAGTCTGGTGGCTTGGGGAACACAGAAACCATTGCCTCTGGCTTGAGTGTGGGGCTGTCATGTGGACTGGAGGATGGGGGAATACTCCGTGGTGGTGAACATTTCCCAACAAGTCCCCCATACATGGAGCAGGAATGGCAACAGGAACATGGATCAGTTACTGGGCTTCACCTGTTCCATTGGACCTTGGCTAGGACTTACCACTTCACTGGCTTCAAACCTGCTAAGCTTATATATATAAAGATCCTAATCTTTCATTTCTTTAAAAATTTTCCTGTATGCAAAACAGAGTGGCTGGGAGATGCAGTGTCATACCCCTTCCCCACAAGGATTTTGAATATGGAGGGTTATTTCCTTGACATTACCTAGTGGTTAAAGCTTCATCACTGAAATTTACATAGTTTCTCAGTTGGCATTTGGGCAACTTGAACCTCCTGTATAGAAACTTCTAACTTCTTCATTTCTATATAGAAAAAAGCCTTGCCTCCAGAGGAGGGCAGCAAGAAATGGTGGCAAAGCCTGGAGCATCTTGGCACTCCATACCCCACTAAGTGCCTCCCCATTCCTGCTTCTACAGAAAAGCAAAGGCAGTGACCAGCTTAGTGGCTGGGTAAGCCCTTTGGCAGCTGAATTTGTGACTTTGGTGGTCGGGGGGTGGGGGTCTTAATTTTTTTTAAGGCTAGCTCTTGAGGGGATGAACCTGAGCATTTGTGGGGATGGGGTGTCCTTCCTGATGCACTGTTCTTGCTGCCTCCCACAAATCTCTTACTAGGTATTTGATTTTTATGACAAAGGTAAACAGCTCTAGGTCCCTCTGGATTGCAGGGTATTGGTGGTCCTCCCAGGACCATTGGTGCTTCAGGGTGGTCCCAGATCCCTGAGAGACTGTATTATGATCTTAAAAACAAAACATAACAAAAAACCTAATGCAGTCATCATTTTCATCCCCAGTAGCACATCAAGGCCCACTCTTCAGCCCTGCTGCTCTAGTTGCTTGGCTGTCTGCCTCGGCCAGGTCCCTGGGGCTGGGCACTCCATCTACCCATCACTCACCCAAACCCACTCATTCTGTAGTTTCTGAGCTTTCTCCATTTCCCAACTATGATGCCTAGGAATCTTTCTCTTTGGGATTGAGCTAGTTCTTTCCCAGTTAGCATTAAGCACTAATAGCATCTGTTCATTAAAAAAAAAAAAACACCGAAATATTATATGATTAGGAGTTCTCCCAAGTCCTGCAGTCCTTCAGGCATTGCATCCTGAGCAGATAAGAGGCAAGCAAACCAGGGAGCCACCAAGGTGGGAGAGACCTTCCCTTGTGACAAGAGCATGGCTCGTGTCTGCGGTGTGAGCACGTAGGGATTGATCTCTTGCTATGCACACCTGTGTCAGTTCCCACTGGTCTCTAGACTGCAAGGGAGGTCAGAGCTCTCGTGACTGCCTTCATTAACATGCCCCTGCTATTTGGGGTTTAAGTAGGAGTAAACAGGGTCTAGGAAGGAACAAGTCAGGTGACTAGGCAGGCCTCTAGTTAAGGCTGCATTCTATTTTGGAACGCAGAGGCAACAGGAGACAGCAGAACCCTGCAGTTTCCAATAGAATTCTTGACTGCCTGTTTATTCTCAATGAACTCCCAAATACATAGAGCCCCTGCCATTAGCCAGAAGAGGTGGCCATCACCTCTGAAGCAACTTCCAACTTAGTTCACTGGAAATGTACACTGGTAGTACATATTCAGTGTGGATTCTCAGTAACCACTTTCAATGTCAGAAATATGCAGTGATGATAATGTTTGGTCAAGTGGTTACTAAAGATCATAGCCTTAACTTTTTTGTATGCAAAAGATCTAACCTGTTCTCCCTCTCAGTGAGCTAGCATGGCCTACACTTTTCAAAATAAGCGCTTCATGGCAGCCTAGAAACCATCTCCTCAAAGGAACTTTCTTCTGATATGTCTCTCCCAAGTCCACACGTCTGTGCCTGGTGACCTCTATTTTCAGATTTAAACCAGTTGTCCATTCAAAATAAGGAGACCTGACAACTCTGCAGATCTGGAACCATGTAAGGGCTAGAGGTTCTCAGATCAGGAGCTTGCAGCGCCATACAGCCAACATCGCCTTTGCCAGGTCATTGCCACCATCCCTTCCAGTGCCCCAAGGTGGGCAGATGAATTCCAGAAACCTTTAGGGAGCCAGGATAATTAGGCACCCCATGTGGATGGGCCATGTGAGCAAAAAGCACTTGTCTCTGGGGTTTTTGCCTTGCCCACTCCAGGGCCCCAGGAGAGCCACGTGTACAGGATGAGGCCAGGGCCTCCATCTTCCTTACAGTGGGTTGGTGGGAATCAAGATGGGATTCCTGTGGGTTTTGTTTGTGGGGAGGGGTGATTTTTGTTCCTGAATAAGAAAAAGGAAACTGTGGCCTGCCTTTGAGGGTTTGCAGAGTTTTAAGCAGTGTTTTAGCCACAAATAAGGCATCTTGGAAATCTTTAATAATAAGCAGTCTTTATATGTTTTTTGCAACGCATTTTCAGGTGACTGAGTGCAAAAGAATAGGTTTTCTCCATTGTATTCAACATAGTATGTAGGTTCCCTGGATATAGACAGTAATAGTTGACATATTTCCTCAAAAAGCAATCAGGAAGGCCACTCCAGTATTTGTAGATAAACTTAAGGAAAACTTATGTGCACTCCATTTATTTCTAGTTTGATTACCAAACTTGATGTTTAAGAAACCGCAGTTCTGTGGACAGAATTTCTTTGGTTATTTTTCTTCTTATACTCACCATTATCTTTCCAGTGCCATCACCACCTTCAAAGTCTCAGAGCAGAGGGTTATCCATGGTCATCAGTGGGGGTGCAGTGCAGTCATCCCAGTAACACACACGAGGACAGCTGTCCTGACTGCCCCTTCTTGGTAAATCCCCTCTTCCAGGGCAAGTGAGACATTTCAGTGTTCCTCTTCATGAACTCCAGACCAGATCCCAGGCTAGCCCTTCCACCGAAAGCTTTTCTAAGAGGTTTATCAATCTGTTAGGAATGTCTCAGGAGAGATGAGCCATTTCTTTGGGGGGACTTATATTTACAGATGGATGTGTGTAGTTGCATTGTATGCCTGTG